TATTTTTTTGTTGTGCAAGACTGAGTTACAAGGAAAAGGAGGAAAATCAGACAAAAAAAAACAAGGGAAAAGTAAACTATCAGTAGATTGATAGATCAGACCAGTGAGGCCTATCTAGAACCAGTGCATTCCTAGCCATTTCTGGGAGCTCTTCTTCATGCATGGCCCTGAATGTCCTACTAAGAGACCCCATTTTACAATTTCGTGGGCCAAACAATTTGCTTCCCTTGGGTATGCTCGATTTCCCAGTCTATATGCATTGCAAGTAGAGATTGTATGTCTGAAATTAGTGTGGAGATGGATCAATGGGGTTTGACGTGCTCTAGAACTATGGCATGGATTACAGCTTGCGAATCCCCCTCCTAGATCACATGGTTCAAGCCTTTGCTGTGTGCCCATAAAACAGCGAGTCTTGCAGCCATGGCCTCAGCTACAAGAGGCTCTTCTGTTTGGTGAATTTCCAGCTTTGCTTTAATAATGCTGCCTGTGAAGTCTCTAGTAATTGTTGCAATGCACATCATGTCCTTCCATATGGCTACATCAAAGTTTTTTTTGAGACGACCTTGTGAGGGTTGAATCCATTTATAAGGTATATGAATTTTGCAATTCTTCATTTGGGCTGTTTGAGGAATGTAAGGTGTTCATGGAACAGTTTCAACACTTCCTCTAAGATTTCTTGCGGATGGATATCTGTATGGTGGTGGAGGATTTTATTCCTCATGTTCCGTCGGACAGTGAAATTTAGTTGTCAAATCGTGTATCGGAAGGCATATCGTTTTTTAAAAATAACGTATTTTATCGTGTATCGTATGATACGCATAATTTTAATTTTTAAATAATTATTAATAAAATATATGTATATACCTTTGTAAAAAAGTCATATAGACTTATAATAACATAGCATTTCATTAATATTCCACCAACTATTCAAGTTTCCAACATAGTTCAGTAATGTCAAAATGTAAAAACCTCTAATTCAAACTTTTAACATCAACTGCTTGAACAACCTTCATATTAATTAGGAATTTTGAATTCAATTGAACAACATTAACAACAGACTTTATTTATTTTTTTTAAACCATAACCACTGAAACGACGTTGTTTCACTAGTTAGTGATTTAAAAATAAGTTTTAGGGTAAAACGATGTCATTTTAACCCCAAAAAAACAAAAAAAAAATTGAATCGTCACGTATCGTATCGTGTATTGTACGATACGGTGAAAAACTAAAAAGCGACACGATACATATCATTTTTTAGGTGTATCGTGACGCATTGTGTATCGTATGATCCTAATAACTTGTTGCAGTGAAAAGGAGAAGGTCAATGGAATGAGGGCTTTTGGGACCAAAGAGAAGTGTTGGATGTAGGATGTTATGCATCCATTTCTCAGTTGACAGATTGGGAAATTGATCCGCATGTATATCCCATTTATTGAACCAGATCATAAGTGCCAAGGGACAGAAAAAACAGAAGTAATTTTGTTTCAATGCTTTGCATGTACAAGGGGCATAGGAAATCTTGAATGAAAAACCTACTTGCCAGGAGGCTTTTGGTAGGTAGACTCTCAGTGATGGTGCGCCATATGAGATCATTTTGAATCTTTCGTGAATTGGGGCTTTTCACAAGCTTTTCCCTTCTGCTGAATTTAGATAGTGGCTGATATTATCTTGATCCTTTAAGTGTTTGGTAAGCTGATTGAGTTACAAAGGTGCTATTAGTTGAGGGAATCCATTTCATTTGCTCAAGCGTAGGAAATGCTGGTAATTTGATACTTAGAATAGCATTGACTGTTTGGTCATTGAACAAAGATTGTAGCAGTGATATATTCCAAGACCTCTGTCTTGAATGATGAATTCTTCAACCATAAATGGAAGTGATTCAGCTTCATGTTCAAGCTGCGCTTTGAAGGAGGGAAGAAGTTTTGGGACCCAAGGTTCAGTCCAAATATTAATGGATTTACCATCTCCCAGAACATAGCAAACACCATGTTCAATTAGAGGTCTGCATTCCAGAATTTGCTTCCACATTTGTGAGTTTGTTGGATTCTTTTGGACATGAAGAAATGAGTTCCTGCTGCAATATTTTCTACCAAGTTGTGCAATCCAGAGTTTTGGAGTTGAATCAATTATTTGCCATCCAAGCTTTGCCATAAGAGATCTATTCATATCCATGGAGGATCTAAAGCCAAGTCCTACTACATCTTTAGGTCTACATATAAAACTCCATGATTTTGTGCACACGTCTCTCTTTTCATCTATTTGACCCCACCAGAATTTTCGAACTTTTATATCTACTTGATCATAGATTATTTTAGGAAGCAGGAATGACTGCATGGCATAATTAGACATGGCAAGGGCAGTGGACTTTATCAAAGTAGCTCTGCCGGCGTATGAGAGGCATTTGGCTTTCCAGCCTTGCAACTTTTGGTCAATTTTCTCCAAAATGGGTCGGAATGCTCTGATTTTTGATCTGCCCATTTGAAGTGGGAGACCCAAGTACTTTAGTTCGGTGTTTCTTCTTTTTTTGAGTCCTACGATGCCTTTAATGATTCTACTAGAGTTCCTCTGAATATTTGGGTTGTACAAGATGTTTGATTTGTCTATGTTTACCTTTTGACCTGACCAGTTCTCATAGGTTGTAAGGCAGCTTGAGATAGATTCAACTTCCTGTGCATTGGCTCTTCCAAAGATGAGGAGGTCATCTGTGAACATCAGATGATTAAGAGTTTCATAGTGCCTTGCGATTTTGATACCTTTTAAATTACCCTGAGCCTCTTGCTTTTGTAGAAGTCTTGAGAGCACTTCAGTGCAGATAATGAAGAGGGAGGCAAATAATGGGGCACCTTGGCAAAGCCCTCGTTGTGTTGAGAATTTTCCCATTGGTCCACCATTTATGAGTTTCAAGAATGAGGGTGTTGTTATGCATTGCCCAATGAAGTGAATGAACAGGTGAGGAAAACCTAGGGACAAAACTTTTAGCAAGAATGGCCATTCAATTCTATCAAAGGTTTTGGCTATATCGATCTTGAGGAGCATCAATGCTCCTTTTCCTGACTTCCTCTTCAACTGGTGAACAATTTCCTGTGCTAAGATCATATTCTCTTGTATGGCATGTCCTGGTGCAAAGGCAGACTGGTTGGGGGCTATATGAGTTTGTCCAAGAATGGCCTAATTTTGTTAGACAGACTTTTGGAGATCACTTTGTAGGTGATGTTGCAAAGATTGATAGGTCTGAATTGGTCCACAGTGTTTGAGTGAGGGGATTTGGGTATTAAACAAAGGTTAGTTTTGTTCAATTCCTTTAGCATGTGCCCATCTGCAAGAAAAGCTCGAACCATGTTAGATAAATCATTACCTACGGTGCTCCAATAAGTCTTGTAGAAGATTGCTAACATGCCATCCGGGCCTGGGGCCTTGAGAGAGAACATTGCAAAGAGTGTTGCTTTGATCTCTTCAGAAGTTGGTATTGTGCAGAGGTTGGGGTAAGCCTCTGGGTTGATGATTGGAGAAATTAAATTTTCCAGGTTTGCAGGGAATTGTGGCGTTGAAGTCGAAAAAAGGCATTGAAAGTGGTTAATGAATTGGGCCCCAATTTCAGCTCTCTCTGTGATCTAAGTACCATCTTGTAGTTTTAAACAATCAATTGAGTTCCCTCTTGCTCTGATTACTGTGGTGGTGTGAAAAAACTTCGTGTTGGCATCCCTTTCTTTCATCCATTGAATTCTAGATCTTTGCCTCCTACGGTACTCTTCTCTCTTGAGTTGCTCTGCTAGGTCATGTGAGGGGCTTTTCTTTGCCACTATATTATCTAGAGTGGGAGGCTCCTGCTACAACTTGTCAATTGCTACTATGGCTGAGGAGGCAGGCCTTATCACGCCCCCAAACCCATCATGATTGCATATGTTTGGAATTGTCAAGGGCTGACTTCTACCTCGACAATTCAACATCTAAGGGCTCAAAAAATGAAACAAAAGCCACATATTGTATTCCTATCGGAAACCAAAATCACTTGCCAAAAAAATGAAAAAACACTTCGAAGCCTGGTTTTTACCAGCATGATATCAAAGAAGCTATGGGCCTTTCTGGAGGCATCAGCCTCTGCTGGAGAAAGGGATTAGATCTTCAAGTCATCCTATTAAACAATTCAATCATTGCAGCTATAATCTTCTCAGAGCAACAGGTGAAAAATGGTTACTAAGCTGTGTTTACGTGCCCAATAACAGACTCCACCAGCAGAAACTTTGGGAATCAATGGACCAAATCAACAATGACTTCCAACTTCCAAGGACCACTACTCTTTATAGGTGATTTCAACATCATCACTGCCCAAAATGAAGAGGGGGGGGGGGGGGGGGGGGGGGGAATTTCATGAATGAACAAGGTTTCATTGATTTGGGCTATGCAGGTAAACCTTATACTTGGTCTAACAGGAGGGAGGGGTTAGCAAACATAAGGGAAAGATTGGACAAAGGTATTGTTAATATCCACAGGAGGACACTCTTTCCAAAGGCAACAATCACTCATCTTCCTGCAATAAAATCTGACCGTGCATCATTATTGCTTAACACCTATGGCGATCAAGCCAGCTACCCAAAAGCATTCAAGTTCGAGGCCATGTGAATACAGCCACCATGTATTCAAGAGAGCCTGGAACACCAATCTCAGAGGATCTCTAGCACATAGGTTTTACAGGAAAATCCAAGGGACAAAAGAAGAGTTCGAATGGTGGAATAGAGATTACTTTGGAAATTGCAGCCAAATTAAAAGAAAAGGCATTCCAAATGTTTAGACAAACAAAATGAGAGAAGATTATGTGCTTCCACATCAGAAAAATGGAAGAATCTATGCTGAATCATAGAGTTAAACAATTTTTTCATGGGCTGGAGGATATCAAACAAAATGGAATTATTTCCAATCAGGTACAACATTTGAAAGGACACTAGCTAGTAGTATGTCCAAATTAGATGTCAATGACCAAATGCGTAACGTGGCAGGTTCTGTTATTTGGAACTCACTGGCATGGAGCAATTGAGCCGGACTTGTCCATTAGATCCAGTTAGAACTCCAAGGCCTGACATTTTCACCATGACCCGAGCAAAATCCTTGCGAAAGATTGTGCCGTCATCAGAAGCATAATCCATCACCACTTGTGCTGTCATCTCGTTGGCCATCAATTGTTGATCAGCAAAGAGGAGCCCTCTTCCTCTCAGCAAACTCAGATAGTAATGAGTATCGAAACCGACCCCAGATGAGATAGAAGATGACAGCCCCTGGAAGTACGTCATGCTCATTGTGAACTCCCTCATACCCCTCGTTCTCATGGATGAAGAGCCTCCATTTTGGGCACTACTGTTACCCATGTCATGGCAGTGTATCCTCATCTCCTCAAGGAAATCAACAGGAATAGATGGGTCAGGCTGTCCTGTTCCCAAGAAGTTACCAAGTCTAGGCTGAATGAATTCACAACCAATTTTACCTATGTTATGTGCTCCTACACATGATTACAAACAATTCAGTTCAGCCCATGAGTTGAAATTCGTTTATGTCCAAGTTAAACAATTCAGATATACTAAAAGAATGAAGTGAGTGGATGCCTAGAAGTGTGACTGTTTCCCTTTCATCAAATCCTCTGAGGGAAAACAAACGAAGTGTTTCGGTGATATTTCCATCTGGCCGTGGAATCCCAGCCATGGCCATCTCATAGAATGACTGGTTACTGTCTCGTCTGCCTGTCAAAACTGGATAGAATGGGCCACCAGACTGCAATTTCCATAGAAAACAAGATCAGAAATCCCAACAAAATTTGAGGGAAAGTTGCAGAAATTAAAAGAGAACAACTAGACATGGAGACCTAGTGAAATAATAAGGAAGTTTGAAATCACAGAATATTGAATCCATTTGACAATACTGGAACATTGAAAAAAGGTGGAACATGAAAGTTGAACTACAATAAGAGATCTGATGAGAAAAAAAGTCAAATAAAATATAAAAGCACATAAAGGAACAAACATAATATCCATTTTGACATGTAAGGCTGAAGTAGGAAGTATAAAACCTTCAATAACCAGCTGATATATCACACATGATAAGAATGACCAGTCCAGAAATGGTTAGAAGGATAGAGTCGATGCCTAGTATCCGTTTGGAGTTGTATTAGTTACTAGTGATATTTTGTCAAAAGAAAAACTTTTGTCCTGCTGTTATTTGTGTCTGCTGTTATTTGTGTAAATTATATCAAAATATCTATTACATGTTTCATAGAACTAGAAATCCATGGTCCAACCGACTTCCTATTGAATAGCACAAAATAACACTGGCATTTTGAAGTGCCACACAGACTTGGGAACTTTGGCATTGTAAATTGACCAACTTCTTTCCAAACAACTTCAGATATGCTAAATCAATCAACTTTCCTCACAACAGCTAAGGTTCAGAATTATCAAGAACAAACCCTGACAAGTCATAACAGATGTGGATAAGGTAATACAATTTCATAAACAAAGAAAGCTGATCATCTGGCATGCATATAGACTAGAAACAGTACTCAGACCAGAACAATGCCATCTCTGGTAGCCAGAGCAATGATGTCGGCACAAGATACCACCCCTGGACACAGGTTTTCAAGCTCTTCCTTAATTGTATCAATAAAATTATAGCCCTTCAATGTCCTATTGGGAATGGCTTGTCGCTCAATGGAGTGGTTCTTATTTCCATTGCTGTCATCCAGTAGAACCGAAGCATCACAACCCTGCAAACAAAATATAAACCACAAATTTAAGAAAAGTAAAACTCATAGAAGATGAAAATTAGGCAGATAAAGAACAAGAACACCCATGTTCAGATAAAAATAAACCTCCGACGATAACCAAAACACAAAAACCTAAACGTTAATCTCAATTCAGAGACCAAGAAACCAAAACTGCGCAAGAATACACAGTACTCAGATTCGTAAATGACAAAACCCTAGTGGTTTAAAACTGGAAATCAATAAGAGAAACCCTCTCAACCCAATCTAATGAAACATAAACCACGAACTCACAAAGCCCATATGAAAGAAATAAAATGCATTACAAATCCAACTTCAAAAGAAAAAAGGCCTCAGAAAACAGGGACTAAAAAATAAAAAAAAAACTCAATTTTGGGCAAAGAAAGCCAGAATCAAGAATAGAGCATATCACTGAAGGAAAGAAACATCGAGAACTTAACAATGGCAATATTCACCGGGAATAAAAGTCGAATCAAGAAACGAAGAAAAAATTGAGCACCTCAATGAAGCAATCATGGAATAAGAGGCGCAGAAGCTGTGCCGTGGCGTTCTTTTGTTGCGAGAGGATTTCCTTCATCGCGGACCACACGACATTCTGTGCTTCGGGGCACTTGTCTCTGTAGAAATCGTACTGGAGAAAGGCATTTGTATGAGTCTGGTTCAACAAGACTCCTTGAGAACCAGATGAATCCAAAGTAATGGACGAAGAAGAGAAGATAGAGCCACCAGAGGCATTCTCTGTTTCCGAATCACCTCTGCGGCTTGTGAAAGAGACGATGACAGAGAGTGAAAGAGCCGCCACGAAGACCCAACTCCTCAACATGATTGATCACTAGTGTTTCTTGAAGAAAATTCAATCTTTTTGTTTGAAAAGAACAAGAACGCGGGAAAATTAGTTTGGTTCGGTTTGGGTTGTTGTTATGGCCTCTGCACACGCTTGTACGGTGTACCTTTGCGTTTTTTATCTTATTATGGAGTCGAGAGATACATACAGCTACAGGCGCCTTAATTAACTGAAAATGCTAATTGGACGTAAAATGCCGTTTTTATTTGTTCACTTGATCGATGATGGGATGAGACCCCTTGGCCTCGATTCTTTTGCATAGTCCGGGGCTGGCCGCAGCAGAGCAGCGGGGCATAGCGGCACCCTCGCCTGGCGCCATTCCCGGACCTCGGGCGGGCCATGCTTGAATTCAGTCTCGACCATATTCTTCTTTGTTTGAGCTAACCATTGAATCTGTTAATTAAGTCAACAAATTAAATCAATAAATAAATACTGAACTTTGTTTTAGAGCGATATTATAAAACTAAAATGAAATCCAAAAAATTATAACCAAAATACATAACATTTCCTATATGAGTAGATCTTATCAATTTTTTCAATAGAACTCACTCATTCAACACTCATCCGAGGGATAATATACAATCAGGTTTTAACTTTTGCATTGCATATGAGTTATGTAACATTTTTTTTTTTTAAACTTTTTTTCAGAGGGTTAATTTTACCTTAGGATTCATGGCTATAGTTGGATTGGCTGCCGCCTTGAAATATAGAGCAACAGAGTCAAAGGTGCTCTTCTAAGAAGTCCTATTGAGATAATGGAACAGCACCAAAATCTCTATTGCCAGCACTCGCAGCAAAAGATGACTAATCCACTACTGCTCTGGCTCATCTAGACTTATTCACAAATGACTAAGTGGTATGATCACCACCCTTTTTGTTACCCTTTATGGGTTGGAGTTTACATTCAGGGGTGGGGTTCGAGCTTGAGCTTTTGGTCGATGAGTGGCTTCATTTCAAGTGATGCTCATCTTTCCACGTGACGAACCAGCCGACTTTTTACTTCCATGATCAATTGGCCTAATTATCTAAACTGTGGGGACACAGGAGGACTAATTTTCTCAAATTGTTTGTGGTTGTAAGCGGGCAGTATCACCAACCCACTACGGAACTTTGATGATCAACGCTTGTATAATGCCTAAATTGTGTTCTGTTACTCTTATTATTGGTTGCCATACAAAATTTTTAAAAGGACAAGTAAAATGTCATAACTGAGAAAGACTTGCTTTGCACTGAGTAAATGTGAAAAACACCTAAAAATGTATAACCAACTTGTCAATTTTGTCTTGCTTTTCAAGTATCACATATAACTTCTACTGTATGATTAGATGTCACAATTGTGAGGTGAAGGAGGCCACATTGAAAAATAAGCCATGCCCTGGTCAATTTCTGGCATCAGTATCATCTCATCTCTCTGAGTTTCAGCTACTAATTGCTCAGCTGCATTCTTTTGTGGATCGTCTTGGTCTTCACAAGTTGTTCCCACTAATCCAAGCTCATTTTCCAAGTCTCTCAACCACTGGCTGCATTCAACTTCTTTGATATGTTTTTCTCCAAAATTTGAGCTCTGGGAAGGCTCAAACTCTTGTTGTTGGGTTACTTCACTGGACTGGGAAGAGTCCAAATTGTCTAACATGTCCCAAAAATTAATATCAGACTCTAATGGAATTTCAATCAAGTCGTCTGAAACCTCTTGGTGATCAGTTGCTTCAAATAGGGCATTATGAACTTCGTAAGGTCCCCCAAAGTTGAATAGTGACATCATTTCATCTTGTGGCCTTGTGACATCAGCCCGACTAGAGTTAGAAAAATTTGATCCATAAGAAGACATGGAGCAAGAAGAACTTGATGTTTCTTTTGGTTCATCTGTTGGACTGCATTGTCCTGATATCACTGTTGTAGGTTCTTGTTTCTCGGGAGGCCTCTTGGACACACAATCCTCACCCTCTTGATTCCCAACTTCCTTCTCTATATTTTGGTCTCCATATGAAATGAATGGAGTAGATGAAGGAGAGGGGGAAGAGCATTCTTTTATTGAGGCTTCCTTGGCTTCATCTGTAGGACTCTGATCAGCATCTTTCATAGTTAATCTTTTCTTCAAATGTGTATTCCACACATTCTTAATTTCATTGTCAGTTCTTCCTGACAAATGAGAAGCTATCTTCGACCACCTGCCATTCATTGCCACATGCAGCATGGTTATTAAATAAAAATCCAAAGGAGCAAAAAAAAAAAAAAAAATTCCCCAAAGTACAAGTGAAAATATAATTGGCATACTTATTCCCCAAAGTTTTATGTAGCTTAATAATGGTTTCCTCTTCTTCTGGGGAGAAGTTTCCTCGCTTTACGTCAGGCCTTAGGTAATTTATCCATCTCAATCTGCAACTCTTCCCACATCGCAACAGCCCTACGAAACCAAGATCAAATCAATGTCAAATATTGTCATTATAGGATGATACATACAAAACTATTATTATTATTGTTATTTTCCTTTAAGGTGGACGAAAGAAGACTTCTAAGTCCATTGTCCAACCACCTTTGGCTATCATTGGGTTGGTACTCTTTGGTTCTCATTATCTATAAGCTTTTTTCAAGAGAAATAGTGGTTTGAAAAACTTGTCCAGTTTAAGCACTTTCTGTCATTTCTGTCCCTTTCGTTATTGGTTTCCTCCTCCAACTTTGAATTGATGAACTATGGAAAATAAAGGTATATGGTTTAAAACAAGTTGATAGATATTTGTTCATGCGATTGATTCTATGGTCAACTTACAACTATTTGGTTGAATGCCGGTAGTATATTGGATTCCCTATGGATTTGATTACTTAGTCATCATTGGTAGCTTTCTAATCAGGGTCTTCACTGTTTCATTAAAACCATTGAAGGAATAGTAACATATAAAGACATTATAGAAATGATAGGAAGCTGTAAAATGATTTCTCTTGCAGCTACAATTTTGTTTAGCTGATCACAGATATGGGAATGGACACAACATGTGATATATCTTGAAAACATGGAAAACACATTATTGATTCACTAAAGGTAGGAAAATATTGTGGCAACTAAAAGATGTTGACTCTAATAGAAAATATTTAGCAAAGGAAAAAAGTAAAAGCCTTCAAGATTTCACCTAACAATTATGAACAACCCCTTTGAAAGCTAGTTTTCTAATAACTAATTTCACAAGAGGAACTTATGGAGGAAAACAAGAGAGGTTGTTAACTTGTCTATTCATTTTTGGTCAGATAAATAGGCAACAATATTGGTGATACATATGAAGAAAAGTGAGAGGTGGATCAACAGATATATGAAGAACAATAATCAACAAGACACCAAGAAAACGCCATATATGTATGATTCTCTTTTCAGATTATCAGTTGTGCATGTTCGATGTAAACTTGGAGAATGGTTCACTACTTCCAAATCAAAAGCCAGAAATCTTTTTTCTACATATGTGCATGGAAATGTTATCCATGAAAACATCATATACTCTCAGAGAGATAGAGAGAGAGAGAGAGATACCTGATTGTTTAGGGAGTGCACGCCAGTTGCCATGACCATGTTTCTGAATAAAAGTGATGAGCCTCAAGTCCTCTGCAGGACTCCATGGCCCCCTCTTGACCTTACTCTTATCACAGCAAGGGGCACGCCCTCGACCCATCTCTCTCACCTATATAAGAGAAATGATGTAAAAGACTAAAGAAAAGTTATACCACCCTCCAACACCTCTCGAGTCTTCTTACATGGTGGCCTCTTTATATAACAGCTTCCCTCTGGATAAATATTTAGGGGAACATACACATACACTTACATATATATATATATATATAGGTGACTACCCAACGAGGGTGGGCCATTGAAGGGGCATTCTATGGAATTATAAGATAGTAGAAAGTAACTTACCAACAAAGAGAAGCTATTAATATATGGAAAGGAATTAAAAAGGATTCTTATATTTGGAGGAGTCCACAAAAAAGTTTCAATTTGACAGCTCAGAATTGATACATTCTCTTCAAGTTTAGTAATCCTATTATTATTATTCCTTCCAAGCTATATTTGCATTTATTTTCAATTCACAAGGAAGGATGACAAAATTTCATACTTGTTATCCTTAAATTAGTCAAAAAAATTTGACGTCATTATTGCCCAAATCAATTACAATTTGTGTCACGTTAATCTCTAAAATTTTCAAAGAATGCACTCCAACGTGATCATGTGAGATGCACGTGTCGATTTTCGTTAATAAATTTCGACTGTTATTTTTAAATAGATCCAACAAACACAAAACACAAAACACATTACTTATGGATGAAAAATATGTTTTAACCTTTTAAATAAGTTAACGTCAAATCAATGGTAAGTACAACGTTATAATGGTGTAAGCAAGTAGAATGTTGTGAGATTCATGGCGTAAATTTCCAAGGTTGCGGCCATCTCCATGTCAATGTCCAACGCGATGGTGCCATCCATATTGTTGCAAGTCTAATGATTTAGGTCACCCGCCCACTCTACATCACAATTATTATTATTATTATTATTTTTTAAGAAAAAATTAAAAAATAATACTTAATTATTATAATATAATAATATATATATGTGCCAAACCCATGCACCATGCAATCCTATGAGTCTGTCTGTGAAAGTCTAACCATTTAAAAAAGACATGTATTAAATACTAATTGATTACTCCCATAAGTCATCAGTTAGGGAACCCAACATTTAAAGTCTTTTACCATTTGGTACCTAATTTTGAAATATTTCATTTTGGGTTAGTAGAATTTCACTAACCATGGATGACTTTTATGACTAAACTGGTCTAAGGAGAGAGAAACTGCGTGAGAAGGACTGAGGCAAACTATATACATGTGCGCAGCATGACGTGTGTCTTATGTGTGACTCAATATCTTGCAAATTAGTAGCATTTTTTTTTTTTTTTGGTGTGGATTCATGAATATTTGAAACTTTGCATCAACACACGGCTCTCTAGGATTTGGAGTAGACAATAGTATTGAAAAAAATATTTCGGTATCGTACCGTCAAAATTTAAGATTTTTGTGGGTTGACATACGAATTTTTACGTTTATTTACAATTTTTAGTTTTAGGGTTGATGATCACAACTAACCTTCAAAAATTATAAATGACCACATGACCCTTAAAAATAGAAAATGATTCCCAAATTTTGTAAAAAGTAACCACAATGCGTAATGACGGTGTCACGATTTATTATAGAATATTTTTTTTCAGTATCTTAAACTATTTTTTGATTGGGTAGACTACTCCCTAGGATTTTGTTTTGAGGACTTTGAGTTTGACAAAAAGGTTCATAGAATTTGTACATTTGAGAGTGTTGTTGAGACACATCCATCTCACGTAAGTAAGCCAAGCCACACGTTATTTAGTCATGTGAGTACTAGTGGTGGCCAAATCATGCCTTTCATTTCGTGATAACAAATTATTAATTAGTCTTAAAACAGATAATTAGAGAATATATGTCTGTATTCAATGGCTTCTATTCTAGGAGGCCTTCTACTTTTCTCTCAACACAAATTTTCAAATGTAACAGGTGAATACATTTAATCTGAATTTTCACAACTTCAACATTTCCACACGGTTTCTGACAATTCTACCTTATTCTGAATACTAGAAGAACAGCATGATAGGTGGCTTACTTTTGTTTTTTTTTTTGATCAGAACAAAGAGCAAGAGATATAATATTAAGTACAATCACAAAAAAGAGAAACCTTAAGCTCGGGAGGGAGATAGGTTGCTTACTTACTTACTTAACCTGTGTTTTTGTAGCACTACAAAATAAAAATAATAAACAATAAAAAAAATACATAAAAATCTCGACTATAATTAAGTATGAGTATGAAAGACAATGTTAGCTATATTTTATCGGAGTTGATTTTCATGGGTCCTTGACATAACTTTTACCACTATAAAATTCATAAAATATTCCTTTGTAATTTAGCCAATCTAAAAATTATAGTTTTAAGTTAAATAATTTCGTTTCCCTCATATTTTATCCAGTATCCTAAAGTGTTTTCACCCTTCTTTGCTAGAAATTCGGACACTCAAAGATGAACTATAAATTCAGATGTTTTGAATTCAAATATTGAAAATTCTAATTCTGATATGAATGACCTGTTTTTTGCCGGATAAACCGATTCGAACACGTTTTACCGTTGGTAAAAAAAAAACTCTGGTACTCTCTGCTACGACTAGGTACATAAGGTTGGTCCATACATAAAATTTTATGGATTCTAGTCCAATGTAGTAGGTGAAGCTGGGACCTAGTTGGCTTTGAACTGACTTCATAAACCTGGATCAGATATACCGGACAAAGGTTCCCAAGCCAACCTGACCAATGTATTTCAATCAATTATATATATATATATAATATTGCATTTCAGTTGGGTTTTCAACAACTTGACGGGCCCGATAATATAGATATATCAACATATAAAACAAAAACACATTGGGTGCTCGGGTTTTGACCTTTTGGGTTGGTAAGATACAGGAGAAAGAATTAAAAAAAATGAAACAAACAAGAAAATAAGGTTGCAAGATAGACTAGGGAGAGAAACCAACTCAAAATAAATATATCCAAATTAGTTCCGGTAGGCAGGTAGCAGGAGTGAAACACTGTGTAAGCGATTAAATGACGTTGGTCTAGAATAATGCCTAACCTTTTGAACATTTATTTATGAGTATCTAACCCCTCCCCCCCCCCCTCCCCTCCCCTCCCCTCCTAAGGAATTACATTTTCTTTTCACAGGCAATTGGCAAAACCACACAAACTTTGAATTTTATGCATTCATTTATATCTCAAATGCATGCAATCACCCGTTAACCATATAAATCGAGTAAATCTCAAGTTTGCATTGTCATGAAGACTTATATAGTTATATTGGTCCCACTTGTTTCACAAATGATTCCAATAAACTGTAGCCAGACTGAGGTAGCTAGAATACCTAGTCAACACATTTGTTCTTAGTACCTTTTAGGATCAAGTCACAGAAGACTCCCAGAGTTTCCGTCAAATTCTACTTACTGCAATTCCTGCAATTGTTAAACGTATTGTAAATGTAATTTGGAAAAACACTGAATTCATACGGGCGGTGCCTGACCATGACCACTACCTCCAGACCATGCTATCATACGGCTACTCCAAAACCTAACTGCAATTTGACCAATAACACAACCGTACCACCAACATCTGTGTTCTTTGAACTTTGAAGAACAAACAACAATTGAGTTGCAAGATTTTTCCTGCAAGTTAGTTTGCAAAGCGTAGGTTCGCTTTCTTCCATATGCAACCTCATTTCATTGCCAGGACTGAACCTACCACTTAAATGAGTTTAAAGTCGGTATTACTGTGTTAACCAAAGACATTCCCCCCCCCACAGCACAGACATCATCTGTTCTTGTTTCACAGCTTGACAAAATAAACTTGCCAAGAAGCCAGCACGCCCCAAAAAATCCCCACGGGTCACTACCACCATGCAACCGCCGCCTATACAGGCTGCTTCGATGTGTCCATCAAGCCTCAGTCATCCAAGATGCAAGAACCAATAAAGAGCAAATACGTCTTATTCTAAATGAGTAATTATAAAAAAGTTGCTTCCAGAAGCATTTTATTTGCCCCAACCCAAATATGGGTAACCACATATGGTACAGGGTGCCATGCTGTACTGTGCTGCAATTTACATTTGTTATTCTCTTCCGCTCATGCTTTACATTGTATAAAGATACTCAAACAGTTGGATCTATAAAAAGCTAATTGAATCTGCATAAGAACAATCCACAGCAGCAAAGGTAGAAAATGAACAGCAAACTGTCTAGAGCAAGTGACTAAAACAAGTTTCCAAATGTTTTCAAACAGTACAGCAAACTTGATCATTCCTCTCATATTAGTAGACTGCAATAGAAGCTGAAGAAGCACATTCTCCTAACATCAAGAGAATTGATTAAAGACCACCACCCCTCAGTGCAAGAACAAGATGAAGTACAGAACCACCCTCAATATTATAATCTTTAGCTGTTTTGTCATCTGCAAGCTGTTTGCCAGCATATATGAGCCTGCAACACAGTGGACACATGGAATGTAGATCATATCCTGTAACTTTCATACTGATGAGTGATGATAAGTGGATAGATAACATTTCTCTTTATCATAACAAGAAACATATGTAAGATCAAATATTAATTGCAACTAATAAGAAATAAGTTCAGAGATGCTAGAGGATTCCAAGTGTGTTACATGATTCCATGTGGTAAAATGAGATACAAGGTTTGCATTTGATCTATTGACCAAATAAGGACAATGTACTAGATCTACCAACTCAAAACTTTTGGGATTTTAATTGAAATAGATAAGGGGAAGGAAAGGGAGAGGAGAAGGAGGGGCAGACAACACAACTCAAACTCTTAAAATCTGCGCAGTCAATGATCAATAACCAGATTAAGCATGGTAAGCTGCAAGCCAATATGACCCAAAAAACAATCACGATTATAGTTTTATCTATTAACTCATATCCCTGTCCGGATTCTATATATTATTCATAAACTTCCCATACATAATGAGGTAGAGTTCTGTGACTCAGCTTTGAACTGCATTTTTTATCTTTTATTCTCAGAGACCATCAGGAAAACAAATATAAGACTAAAGTGGGGTTTAAGAAAAATAGGAGAACATACAAACCTCTGCTGCACTGGAGGAATTCCTTCTTTCTCCTCAACCCGTTCTTTAATCCGATCAATGGTGTCAGTTGGTTCAATGTCAATTTCAATTTCTTTTCCAGTGAGAGTCTTCACCTTGATCATAGTTCCCCCCCTGAGCCTCAAAACCAGGTGAAGTGTTGACTCTTTCTGGATATTGTAATCTGCAAGAGTTCGCCCATCTTCCAATTGTTTACCAGCAAAAATCAATCTCTGCTGGTCAGGAGGAATTCCTTCCTTGTCCTTTAATAAAAAAAAACCAATACTCTCTAAGTTAGAAACAGGGTGGCTGCTCAAGGGAACACATCGAGAAATCCTGCACACGTCTCAGCAATCAAATAAAAATCACATGCATTTGGACCAAAAAAATAACTCTTATTCCGGTTGGATGTGTGCAACATTCCTTTATTGCTTTCTACAGTCAATTATTGAGGTTGCTGCAGCTGAGTGTGACGACAAGACTGCCATAGAATGTGCCATACAAGAATAGTACGCCATACAATCAACTAATGAATTCCTAGACTCTAGGTCTAGTGCACCAGAAAATCAAGTCAGATTACAATGCATTCTCTACTACGAGTAAGGTTGGAAAGGCCTTAGCATATTTAACTAGTTTAACAAGAACTTTTTTTATAGCCCTTGGAAAAAGAGGGTACTATTAGAAAGATAAACCAAACCACAAAAACTTTAAATACCAAATGGCAAAGCAAAGCAACAACGCAGAAGAGAACTTGAACTTTGTATAAGTTATAAGTATAACCCACCAAATCATTCATGCTGACAAATACTCTTCTCACTTCGTGAAGTAACAATAATATGTACCAGCAGGAACTCCAACAATCATTCATAATGTGTCAAGAACTCTATTGCAATGATCAGGGTTATTCTCCCTATCTAAGATATTAGTTTGTTTAATACATTCTCTCCAGGACTGTTATTTGTCTTTGTTGGGGTGGGGGTGCCAGAGGGGATGGGCCATAGGGGACTCGATATAATACATGAAAATGAACATCTGGATATCAAGACAAGTCACCATAAAATTTCTATGGTTACAGGGACTTGATGTATTCAAGCAATCACAGACAGGATTCATGGAAAAAGCAAACAAGCTGGTACAATTCATAAAACAAAGAGAATAGAACAACACAAAAACCAGTATGAAGAAATACTATTAATCAAATTGGGCAATAAAGGAAAGAAAGCTTACAGCACCAAAAACATTTGGCAGCGACTGTGAAGTGGTAAAGCAATACATTAATATGATAAAGATTAAAGAAGATGAATATGTTTGAAATACTCAACTTTCCGGACTTTTTCAAACCAGAATCAAGTTGGTACATACATAAACGGAAGTTCTAGATTCACTTTAACCCTAACTTCCCACCTGCGATAACTATATATATAGAATTATACGTATATGCATAAGCTTGTAAATATCATATATTTATGGATAAACTTGTGCTTGTAAGTACCTACGCATGCTCATATAGAAAATGCAGAGAAACTCATCTCCAAGAAAACTCGTATTAACCCCTAGCAAAGATACAGCTAGAATTAACTTGCACGAGAATCAGAAAACCCTATAATTGCAGAAAAATTCAAGAATCCATTTTTCTTTTACCTCCAATAAGCGATCAAGAATACATTTTTCTTTTACCTCCAATAAGCGAAGCAAAGCAATACAGTGGCCATCAAAACCCTAAACTGCGAGAGGAAAGAATTAGGTGATTGATATATACCTGAATCTTGGCCTTAACATTGTCGATGGTGTCGCTACTCTCGACTTCGAGAGTAATCGTCTTCCCAGTTAGAGTCTTCACAAAAATCTGCATCTTTGTTCTCTGTTCACTTGGAGAGAGAGGGGGAGATTGAATATCAGCTAAATCTTACGGACCATAGACTATGGTATTTTCGTGGCACACTAAACATTTTCTGATTCGCGATGGACCCCACCACCACCAGAGAGTGGCATGGACCCCACCATTTATTTCAGTTCATCGTGAGTCGTGACTTGCAGATTTTCGTTCCTCCTGCGCCGGCCCAACAGTCCAGTATGTTGGGCTGGGGTACGCCTTCAAATAAGACAAGGCCACTGAAAGCCCAACCTACCTCTTTTCAAGAAACCAATTGTTCATCATTATTTTTTATGGAGTAATATGAGCAACAATAGTGGAGAAAAAAAAAAGAAGAGAATGAATCAGAAGCTTTATCAATCACGGCTATTTTATTTTTTTGGAAAAGAAAAAAAATGGTGGGGTTAAGGAGAGCGCCTAGAGACTATTTTAATAGATCTTAACGGGTGGGATTTATGACGCTCATGACTGTACATGTTACTTATTTTGAAAATGAACATAGTTAGACTTGTATAGTGGTCAACTACCAAACTTTAATGTGGACTCCAACGATCAAACTTCAAACCTCAAGACGAGAAGTTTGGTCGATTTCCTACTAGACCACCCTACTCGGTGGTTATCCAACGACAATTAACAAGTAGGAATGTGAATGAAACTACTAACTTTTGAATGTTACTTATGTTCTCTGTGTATCCAAATGAGTTTCATAACCTTTAGGGTGGTTCAGTGTGTAAGTTTAGTCTCTGATAATGCATAAGTATTAGGTTCAACACTTGTCATATTCCCTAAAGACGAATCAACTTTGTTCATCAAGAGACATGCTTCTAAACCAACAATGATTACGGTAATCCATATTTGAGTTTTTGAAAATTGATGATGCACAAAAATGGTTTTGCACACCACCTGTCAAGTGTAGATAATAAATGCAATGAAATCAATGAAAAAATTAAAGAAGACACAATTTATAGTGGTTCGGTCAATTCGACCTACGTCCACTCTTCAATGGCTTCAGTTGCCGGGTATTTTATTGATTCAAAGGTATGGAGAATAGAGATACAAACTTTTAGAGAGAGAATGGAGAATCAAAGAAATAGTAATCTCCGGTAGTCGGTTCGTCCTCTTTCAGTCTCTGGTGGGGCGTGACATTCATTTCTCTCTTCTACCAGATTGGAGCTATTTTATAGCAGCTAAGAGATCGTTCTTGTGGAGATCAGGACATATCCTCAAGGCTTCTTTATCGCAGCTAAAAGATTACTCTTGGTGGAGATCACGACTTATCCTCAAGACTTCTTTATCGCAACTAAGAGATTATTCTTGGTGGAGATCACGACTTATCCTCAAGGCTTCTTTATCGCATCTAAAAGATTACTCTTGGTGGAGATCACGACTTATCCTCAACGGAAGGAGGAGGTTGGGGAGCTCTTCATGAAACGTGGTCAAAGATTGAACCGTTTCCTTTGGTGGTGCAGATAAGCTTCCCGTGCTTTCCTCTTGATGACGTGCTAAGCAAAAAGTCTAACCGGTCTTGGACTTGGTGGATTTGGACCGTTTCCTTTGGTGGTGCAGATAAGCTTCCCATGCTTTCCTCTTGGTGGAATCAAAATTAGGTTGGGCTCCTCAACTGGGGTTGAATTTTAACACATAAATTGGACTATTTGAGCTTAACCCATCATTTGCCCCCCAATGCCCCATGTCCAAGGAGACTTGGAGAATGAGGCATTGATTACATTTTTTTTTTTAAACTTCAAGTCTTTCCCACTTTATTTTAAAGAAGGCCCATAATATTCTGTTTGGCCTTTTTGTTTTGACAAGGACTTATAACTTTCTATTTGACCACTTCATTTTGAAGAGGGCCCATAATTTTCTATTTGACCACTTTATTTTGAAGAGGGCCCATAATTTTCTATTTGGGCTTTTTTTTCTCTTTTTGAAAAACCCTAAACTATAAAAATAGTCTTCTTCTTCATGTTACCCATTTCACTCATTTTTAAGGTTGAACACCCACCTCTTGAAAACCTTGAGAACTCAAGTCCTACCCATTTTGTTGAAGCCAAAGTGTGTTCTCCTTGAATCCTTTCAAGAGTGTGATTTATTGCTTGCTAGTTGAGCTTCTCAAGTGAACAATGTCGATTGAAGAGGGAGTGGTGGAGGTTGAAGAAAGGGAGGAAGTAGACACTATTTTGGAGAACTTGGAGGCTAGTTTTGAGCATTCGAATGCTGTTTTGAACAGCTTTGGGGCTGGACAGCGAAGGGGAGATGGGTAGCGCGAGGAGTGGCTTGGGCAGCGAAGGAAAATGGCTGGGCGTGCGACTGGACAGCCTAGGCGCGCTAGACGCGCAGCTGGGCAGCTCGCGCGCGTGCGGTGGGGGGCTGGGCGGCTGCCTGGGCTCTGCTCCTCCCGTCCTGGATAGCCCAGGCGCACTGGGCAGCTGCCTGTGCGCTGGCCTTGCTGTCCTGGATAGCCCAGGTGCGCTGGGCAGCAGCCTGGCTGCTGCTTCTGCTGTTCCGGACAGCTCAGCTGCGCTGGGCAGCTTCAGTTCTGCTGCGCTGGGCAGCTTTGGGACGCTGGGCAACAGTATTTTTCCATCAAGGGGTGCTGAAAATCAGTCCAAGGTTCATCACGGAGAGCTAGGTAGTGGCCTGGGAGCACGGGCTGATTCGATTCTCACTCGAGGCGCTGATTTGGGCCCCTTAGGTGCTGATTTTTGCGCCAAAAATTCTGCTTTACGCAATTTTGAAGGGTCAGGCACCCTTCAAGCTACTGGGCAACTTTGTTTTGACGAGCAACAGCAGTTAGGCACACTTCTAGGCGTTGGGCTAGACATTGCAAGTAGTAAGGAAGCTTTGGGTGCTGCTCTTGATGATTAAGTCCTTCTCCAGGTGTTGGGCGCCTTGGGTGAGCCTGGGGCTGCCTCGGGAGAGCCTGCTTGTGATGACAAAAATAATGTTATTCCAAACATTAAAATATCTCACATAATTACCTAGAGAGAGAGAAGTGGGCTGCTTGCGCGAGAGCAAAGACAGAGTTGGAGAACTGCTCGTGAGAGAGCTACACTTTTTGAGACCTAGCTTTTGGCGACCCATGAGGGAGTCTTTAAGCTTGAGGTATAAGCTGCCTGTTTGAGAACAGTGCAGAGGCCAAGCTTTTTTGGCGATCCGTGAGAGAGCCGTTAAACTGGCGATAGGCTGCCTGTTTGAGAACACTGCAGAGGCCAAGTTTTTTGGCGACCCGTGAGAGAGCCGCTAAACTGGAGATAGGCTGCCTGTTTGAGAACAGTGCAGAGGCCAAGTTTTTTGGCGACCCGTGAGAGAGCCGCTAAGCTGGAGATATGCTGCCTGTGTTGAGAACAATGCAGAGACAGGTCAAGTTTCTGGTGATCTGTGTGATGATTCACCTTGCCTAAACTTGTTGATTTCCTCAGCATTCATATATTTTTGAGCTTTTGTGAATAGTTCTGGCATGCTCTTTGGTGGTTGCTTTATTACTGAAAAAAGGAATCTGGATGAGCAGAGGCCTCCCAGGAAGGCAGTCATGGCGACTTTGTTATTGGGTTCCTCGATTTGGAGGACTTCCTCGTTAAAACGAGTGAGGTAACTCCTTAGACTCTCATTACGATCCTGTTTTATGCTGAGCAGATGGATGACAGGTTGTTGCTGGCGGCGTCCACCAATGAATTGTGTCACAAAGGATCTGCTCAGTTCGGCGAATGAGCCTATGGAGGCCGAGGTGAGTTTGACGAACCATTGTCGCGCTGATCCCTTCAAGGTAATTGGGAATATCCTACACATAATTTTGTCGGGGACGCTGTGTAGTTGCATCATGGTCTTAAAAGTTTCGAGGTGATCAAGTGGGTTCTTCGTACCGTCAAAGGTTTCAACGGATGACATTTTAAACTTCTTGGGAAGTGGGTAGTTCGTCACGTTAGGTATGAAGGGTGTGTTGGTTCGACTTACGAGGCAGTCCACTGTCTCGGGTCTCTGTGCTTTCATAGTGTTGAAAATGTCGTCTAGTTGATTTTGTACCTCTTTTATTTTTTCGTCCCAGTGGTTGGGAGCTCTTTTGGAATTATCTTGGAAATGGCTTTCATGCTCCATGCTCTGGTTCTCACCCTTGTCCTCTTGGAAAAGAAAGCCCCCACCATGAGAAAAGGGAGCTGGAAAAGGAGGTGGAGGTTTGTGGTGCCTGGGCATCCAGAGGTGCAGCCTGTAGTGCAGGAGCTAGAGGTGCAGCCTGTGGTGCCTGGGCATCCGGAGGTGCAGCCTGTGGTGCCTGGGCATCCAGAGGTGCAGCCCGAGATGCCTGGTCATCAGAAAAAGTTGTTTGGGCTCCTGGGGAGGAGACTTGGGCGCCTGCTTGAGGGTCTTTGTTAGGCTTCTTGATGTCTCCGTTGGGCATTTGGGGATCCTCACTGTTCCCATCTTCTGTTGGTGTGAGTTCAGCTACGAAATCTGCTAGGGCTTGTGCTTTGATGGCCGTCCTAGGTTGGTACTGAATGTCGAATTCCCCGAGTTCTACTGCCCATTTAAGAAGTCTGCCAGATACGTCCGGCTTTCCCAAGATTCTTTTAAGAGGTTGGTCGGTGATGACCACCATACGATGGCCTTGGAAGTAGTGTCGCAGCCGTCTCGCTATCGTGACCAGAGCGAGTGCCAGTTTTTCTAGTGCTGAATATCTGACCTCTGCCCTGGTTACGTAATAAACTGGTTTCTGCACTCCATTGTTGTTTCTAACGAGCACTGAGCTTACCGCTGATGGGGAAGCAGAAAGGTATAGATTGAGAGTTTCTCCAGGGGTAGCATGTGACAGGAGGGGAGGTGCTGCTAGGTAGGCTTTGAGCTTTTGAAAAGCCTCCTCTGCCTCAGGTTTCCACTCAAAGGCTTTTCGGAGAGTTTTGAAAAAAGGGAGACATTTATCTGCAGATTTGAAGACAAACCTATTTAATGCTGCGATTCTTCCATTGAGACGCTGGAGCTCCTTGGTTGAAGAGGGTGACTTCATGTCAAGAATGACCTTGATCTTGTCAGGGTTCACCTCAATTCCCCTCTGATTGACCATAAAGCCCAGGAATTTAC